GATCTTCATTCTTGAAGCAGCTTTGGAGAATGCTCTTCTGCAGCCTCTGCAGCCTCCAAAAATCCATGTGAAAATATGCTCCGTTCTCATGCAATTTTCAGAGGCAGTAGAAATTGCAGGAATTGGATATGTCTAGTCTAGTGAAAAGGACTAGGGCTGACATGATAGCAGTGTTTCAATATTTGAGAGGCGACCACAAAGAAGAAGGGGTCAGCTTATTTTCCAAAGCACCAAGGCAAGAAAGACACAATGGATGAAGACTAATCAAAGAGAGAAGCAACTTAGAACTAAAGAGAAAATTCCTAACAGTGAAAATAACCAGTGGCTTGCCTTCAGAAGTTGTGGATGCTCCATCACTGGAGGCTTTTAAGAAGAGACTAGACAGTCACTTTTTCTGGATGGTATAAGGTCTCCTGCTTCATCACGGGATGAACTAGAAGACCTCCAAGGTCCTTTCCACCTCTGTTTTTTTTTTCTCTTCAGAACAATATGCAGTAGACTATTCACACTGAGAATCCAAAGTGCGTGCATGCAGAAACACACAAAGAATTCTCTAATGACCTGAAAGAAGCTAGGCAAGAATGGTGTTTGTCCATCTCAGCACAGTCCAGGATTTTTCTTATTACTTCTTCCTCTGATAGTATATTCTCATTTTTCCAGCACTGTGCATATGCTATTCTTGCCACCATTATTATATGTAAAATTAAGTACCATATTTCTTTACTATATTTTTTATTTAAAATACCCAACAAAAAGATCTCTAGTTTCCAGTCTACAGGTTGGTCTATTATTTCTTGGATCCATTTTCTTATTGTAGACCAGTATTTTTTTGCAACCGGGCATGTCCACCATAGATGATAATATGTTCCATGTACTTTTTTACATTTTCAACAGGTTGGCGAATTATTCTGGAACATCTTGGCAAGCTTTGCAGGTGGAAGATGCCATCTGTAAAACATTTTCAACTGGTTTTCCTTGAATGCCGCCGACATAGTCAATTTTATATTTATTTCCCATTTTTTTCCCATTTCTCCAGTTCTATATTATATCCGAAATTTTTTGCCCATCTAATCATTGTGTCTTTGACAACCTCATCTTCCATTTTATATCTCAATAAGTATTTGTATAAATTGCTAATTAATTTTATTTCTGTTCCATGTATAATTTTATCCAATTCTTGCGGCTTTTTGGATTTCATATAATTTTTTGTCCTCTGTATATTTAGATTGAATTTGTGTAAATGTCCACCAATCAATCTCTCTGCCAATGTCTTGTTCCAATTCTTGTTTTGTTTTCAAATTTCCCTGTTCATTTACTAATTCCTTGTATCTAATTATCTTATTTATATCCAATAGGTTTGGGTATTTCAGAGCTTCTGTTGGGGATAACCACATTGGAATTCTGGTATAATGTTTTTGTTTTATTTTTTCCCAAGTCTGTAGCAATGCATTCCTAACTATGTGTCTTTGAAAATATCTGTGTATTTTATGTTTTTCGTCCCATAGGAATGCATGCCACCCTGCTTGCAAATCATGTCCTTCTATTGTTAAGACTCTAGTATTTTTCAAATTCATCCTATCTTTTAGCCAGTAACTTAGTTATTTTAACAGCTTATTTTGTTACAGATATTAAATCCATGAAAGGATATTGTCTCTAAATATGAATATTCTTAATTTGTTCATATGTTATAATAGGAACATGCATAATTGTTGCATTCAAATCTATTATACCATTAGTCCAAGAGGCCAGTGATAATGAATCTTTTGGGCTCAATGTGTCAAAAAATTCAGAAAATGCCTAATTTGAGTCTTCTGGCATGTCATACATACCCCCCCCCCAACAAAAGTGGAACAATTCTTTACATATTCATTTACTTTTAAAAAATATATAGCCCAATCGTGTGTGTGATCCCTGGGATCTGCCCCATGCCACTTACCTTCAACCAGTGATCTCTTTCTGTTGACAGGCCTCTGCAGCTACCCAGGGCTGCTCTAGTTCGCATAAGATCTTCATTCTTGAAGCAGCTTTGGAGAATGCTCTTCTGCAGCCTCTGCAGCCTCCAAAAATCCATGTGAAAATATGCTCCGTTCTCATGCAATTTTCAGAGGCAGTAGAAATTGCAGGAATTGGATATGTCTAGTCTAGTGAAAAGGACTAGGGCTGACATGATAGCAGTGTTTCAATATTTGAGAGGCGACCACAAAGAAGAAGGGGTCAGCTTATTTTCCAAAGCACCAAGGCAAGAAAGACACAATGGATGAAGACTAATCAAAGAGAGAAGCAACTTAGAACTAAAGAGAAAATTCCTAACAGTGAAAACAACCAGTGGCTTGCCTTCAGAAGTTGTGGATGCTCCATCACTGGAGGCTTTTAAGAAGAGACTAGACAGTCACTTTTTCTGGATGGTATAAGGCAGTGAGTCTCAACCTTTCTAATGCCGTGACCCCATAATACAGTTCCCCATGTTGTGGTGACCCCCAAGTGGGGTGGCCACCAATAAGAGGGAGTAGGACAGCTAGGGAAAAGGGAAAAAAATGGCGGACAGCATGGTTGGTGACCCCCGTGAAATGGTCATTTGACCCCAAGTGGGGTCCCGACCCATAGGTTGAGAACCACTGGTATAAGGTCTCCTGCTTCATCATGGGATGAACTAGAAGACCTCCAAGGTCCTTTCCACCTCTGTTTTTTTTTCTCTTCAGAACAATATGCAGTAGACTATTCACACTGAGAATCCAAAGTGCGTGCATGCAGAAACACACAAAGAATTCTCTAATGACCTGAAAGAAGCTAGGTAAGAATGGTGTGTGGTCGTGCATGGCCTCTGGAGTCTCCAGAGGTTGCCTGAGAGGCCAGTTCTCCCCTACAGCCTTCTAAAATCTGATGAGAACAGGGTGTGCTTTCAAGAATAGTTGTTGGGTGTTGGGCTACTCTGCAATAATGCTAATGTGTCACCAAAACTTTGACACGCATGTCATAGGTTCACCATTACTGTCCTAGCCTGTATGTTGTGTGAATTCAATCCATGTAGTTAATTTATGGTTCAGTACAATCCATGTAGTTAATTTATGGTTCAGTATACCAAAGAAAAATGAGTTAGTTGAACAAACAATGGTTCAACTAATCATGAGTAAGCGCATAATGCAAACTGGCGTTTTCTCAGAAGGCCACGTTAATGCCCTTTTAAATTCTATGTGAAACTTGTTCCCTATAGTGTTAGAAAAGTCAGTAAGTGGCTTCAGAAGTGTTACAGAGAAATAATGTGAGAAATGATGCCCATGAAGGGGAAGTTAGTATGATGGACTCTAGTGAAGTAGCAGTTTCCCAGGAAGGAGGAAGCACATCCCACAAAGGGGAAGGAGATAAGAGGCAGCCCAGCTCAGAGCTAGATAGGGGACAGAGGAAGGAAAATGACTGACACTCCCTAGAATCTCCCAAGGAAATCCATTAGGGTGGAAGTAGTAAGAGTTTAGTCTGGCAAGAACCTGTCTATAGGTAATCTTGATTTACAAGTAATTGAACCCAGTCTTAAGTCCTGCCAGTCATTAAGCAGGTCATCATGTAACCCCATCCAATTTTACAATTTTTTTGTAGCAGTTGTTAAGTGATCATTAAGTAAATCCATAGTTCATAATGGGCTTTTCTTTGCTGGAAGCCAAAAGTAAACACTGGTTTCCGGCCAAAAAATTGTACATCATGGTGATGTGACCCTGAACCATTAAGTATAGGTTGGTAGCTGAGTGCTACCAACTGTGATCATGTGACCATGGGGATCATGTGACCATGGGGAGGAGGCCTTCAGAATTTCCAATTTTGGTCATCTTTTTGAGTGTCCAGTGTAGTATCAAATGGTCGCTCAGAGATCAGTATAAGTCGAGGACTATCTGTATTGTGTGTCTAAGCAAATAAAGAACCTCATTCTGATTGAATTGCTTTTCATTTTTCTTAGGCTTAATCTAACACATGGCTGTCAAACTTGCCTCGTCATGTGACATGTTGCGACGTATTGCAACTTTTTTTGCATTGCCGGAACTGGGGTGGGCGCAGCCTCCATATGAAGCAACCAGGCCACGGGCCGGCAATTTGACCCCCCTGGTCTAACATATTCTAAATAACTGAATCTGTCTTCAGACAAGGGGTTGAAGTCAGAATTACACTCAGATGAATTTTGTTATTTGAAGAGGATTTTTCACTATGTCCTTCACTGTTCTGGGAGATAGGAATTTTGCTAGGACGACATGGAGAGGCACTAGACAGGGATGGCAAAAGGAGAAATTGGAAAAGATCAAAGCCTCCATATTTCCTCAGTGAATGCCAGATTTAATTTTCTCCACTTGTAGAAGGGATGTTCAGTTTAATGAGGTATAAGTTTGGATACAATTCTGTTTAATTATATTTCTTTTCTATATTTATATAAATATCAATATAAATTCCCTTGTCACAATACAGTACATATATATTATTTCAAATTTTCCATACACATTTCAGCCTGATTTATAAACAGAGTCCTAACAAATGTATTTATATCATATCAGAAAGCTGTCTTTTCATTCTTATAAAACAGATTCTGAAAAATTACTGAGGAAGTAAATTGTTGGATTCAAAGTAAAAAACAGTATCTTAAGAGTTAGATAATGTTTTGATGTTTTCTCTTCCAAAAGAAATAGTTTAATCAACTATATAATTAGCTTATCAACTGTATATACTTACATTATGTTTACAATCTTGTAAAGACCAATCCAATTCTCGTTCACTAAAAGGGCCAATTACAGAAAATGGATACTGGTAGAACAGGCAATAGGTAAATTATATTTATTTTAGCTTTGGTCATACTTTGTTGTGTGAAGATGACCAAGCATAAGTTCCAATCTACTTGAGTCATCAAAACCTTGTCATATTGTGTTATAACTTTTGAGGCATAAAAGTTTATGTATATGCAACATAATACCCCAGAATTAACAATTGTTGATAAGAAAGACAAAGAAGTCTGGATAGTGGACATGACAGTACCTAGAAATAGCAGAGGAGAAAGAAATTGAGATAATCACAAAATACAAATACCAGAAAATAGAAGCAGAACAATAGTTTAACACCATCAAACATCCATATCTGCCTATCCCAGGTTTGGAAGGACTTGATAGATGGATAAAAATGCCAAATTGAGTCTGAACATCTGGCTTCATTACGAGCCACATTATTTCCATGTAAGTAAAATATAACAAGGGAAAAGCAATACAATATTATTTTTTAAAAATTATAGTTTCTTCCTTTTGTCAAGCACAGAATATTCACAAACTGTACCATACAGTCTCAAGTAATAATCCATTTTTAACATCTCTGGATTTTAGAACCTCATTGTATGAAGTTATGACTCTGGCAGCGTTACCTGAGACTGAAGGACATGTATAGTTTTGAATGCACCACGCTCAAAAAAATAAGGGAGTGGGGAGAGAAAGTTTCCATGTCAGAGACCAGCATCTCCCCCGCCTCCTTTTTATAACTAATGTTCTCTTTTAAGAAAGAACTTGCAGTTCGAAATGGCTTATTCCATTCTGGTTGGACATCAAAAATACTTAAATAAAAACCGCTCTGTTTCGACTGAATCCTAAAAAAAAAAGGATTACCAATAGTTCAGGAAAAGGCTAAGGAAGGCGAGAGATACTTGAAAGAAAAAGAATACGGGCAAGCAAAGGAGAGCAAAGACGTCCACCTACGATGCCCAATGGTAACGTCCGAAGGTTCCCCTCCCCGCTCCTTTCACTGGCTGCCGAAATACGTCATCCGATAGAACAGGAAAAGAGAGGGTGGAATTCCCGGCATGCCTCTTGGGTTGGTGCCCGGCCGATGGCTAAGATGGCGACTCCCATGCATCGTTTGATTGCTCGGAGACAAGCGTGAGTGTGTGGCGGGTAGAGAAAGGCTGGAGAGGGAAGCAACCACCATGGGCTTCTCGAGAGAGGGGTGTTAAACAAGCTGGAGGCAGTCCTGCGGGTGAAGCGCGGGAAATCCAAAACACTTGCTCCCCAGCTGTTAGGGGAAGGACAGCGCTAAGAAGGAAGAATTGGGAAGACCTTTTTAAAAGGGCGAGACATAGTTGGCATGTGTGCAATTGGTCTTTTAAGGAGGGTGGATTCTCGTGTACGTGTCGAGAGGGCAGGTGCTGAAGTACCTAGAACGCCGCGGCTTCTGTAGGGGTCAGGGGGTAAAGGTGCGAAAAATGTCCTAGCTCCCTTGATGCTAACCTCGGGAGGAGAGCCATTGTGTGTTGCGGTATGTTTCTGTCAGCATCGCTTGCTGTGGAAAAACTGTCAGAGTAAGCGGTTTAATTGGTGTCTGGGCAGTTATGGTTGTGATTTCTTGCCCTGTTTGTTTTGCTTTGCTTGCTGGCATGCACATGGAAGTGCCGTCTCCCATAACTTTCTCACAAAATGTTATTTGTTCAAACATTATTAGAAATAAAGGGTAGTTGTTTCCTGTGCAGCACACTGCTGAATTGTGTGAGCCAAATTATGGTTTCATAAATTAATGATTAAATGCATGCTTTAAAAACTTAAGTAATGCTGTTTATATATATTACATTAAATCTAATGAATATCTTCTAATTGGCTTTTAATCTTGTGTTAAACATTTTATAGTGAGCTTTCTCTAATAATGCTGGCACTCAAAGTGTTTTCTCTCTGTAAATTTAAATATTTTGTAATGCTGGAATTAGTTAAAGAGGTTCTTAACTTCTTAGAATTAAATGAATATTATGAAAGAGTCTTTCCCAACCCTTTCCCAATTATTATTTATACAATATTTGGATGTATTCAGAAAAACTGGTAAATACATAGTCACAACAGTAAACATAAATAATACTGGATATAATATTTTTTAGACCATATCATCTAATCTCGCAATTGTTGCTATTCCTGTTAGCAATAATCACAATTTGAAACTATTAAGTACTGTAGTAGACAATGGCAGCTGCTCTGGGAGTGAATGACATTCATAGCTTTAAGGAAGCAATAAATCATGGTTAAATGAGCCACATTAAATGGGAGCCTAGAAGTTGTGTGTCTTAATTTTCTAAAATTAATCACATTCTGTAAACATTTCTTAGATGTAAAATTAAAGTGGTTTATCTTTTTTGTGATAAGAGAATATCACAGAATATTAATTTGCAGTAAGGTTTACCTACCTGTATGTGTTCTTGAAAAGACTGGTTGATTTATACACACACACTTACTCCGACACTTTGCTGTATTCATCTGAACTGAGCTTCAAATGACTGGTCTTCAGACAATCTGTTGCGATTTTCCACTGCCTCATCAGGAGAAGCCTATTGTAAATATAGGATGAAATTCTGTGTAAATGTTGGGATGGCCCATCCAGATATTATCTATGTTATAGCTGTATTTTAATTCCTCAATCCACACTTTTCCATATGCAGGTTAATTGTTTAGAGTTTTTCTGGCTGTCTTACAGCTGCTGAAGTACAATTTTCAACATTTTTCACCATCAGCTAATGGAGTTAGAGTTATTTCTGAGACTCTTAAAAGATCACTCTGTCAAGGGAGATAATCTCTTACCTTTAGTTCTGTATACCATCTTATTCTAATCCAGTTAATTGGGAAGATATGAATCTGAGAAGTGAACAATCCAGTCCATATGTTATATGTCTTTATAGGATTGAAAAATTCTGCTAAATTGTTTTAATGAATGTAATATTAACAAAACACTTTATTTAAAAACCTAGAACATGATTAAAGAACCAATTTCCATAACCATACACTGAAAAGCAATGTTTAATAAAGTAATCAAATCAGTTTAGTTAGAAATAGAGCCTAAAGGATTTTAAGCATTCAATTTTTATTTTTACCCTTTCCTACTTTAATCTTTATAGCAATGTTATTTAAGCCTTGCAGAGGCTAAACACATTAATTTTATCCCTGAAATCTGGTGTGGAGCTAGTTCGCCCCCTGCAGTGCATCCTCAATAAGCACAGGAGCTCTAATACAAAATTTTGAGGACAAAAACTGTTTTTTTATTTGAATTCTGATATCACATGAAAGTATATAACTTAAAGAGATTGTATCACAACATACCATAAATCTTCCTCTAAATTATGCTGCTAATTCTAAAAGAGATAGCTAATATTGAGATTAAAACATGACTTTAAGGGCTAGAAAAAAGCCCTTAGATAAAAATCTGCATTATTCCAAGGAAGCAAACATTGTATTTGAGTCAATATAATACACACTTTTGAGTGAATATTCAGATACATTGAGTTGGTTTGTATTCAAAAACTGACGAAATTCAAGTTTCTTGGTCGAGTGAACTGTGGATCAATCATATAAATTCCAATTACCGGTAGGTGATTCATAGTAATATTTTAGCAAATTTTGAATAGCAAAGTAACTAGTCACTGTTGGTTTTATTGTGACTCTTTACTTACCATACTAAGCCATGAGTTGTTCAGTTTATAAGCTGCTGCATTTGAAGAACTTCCTGAACCATTCATTGTGACTTATAAATTACAGTGACTGAATTTGAATAGTATGCTGAACTAAAAGTAAATAAAGTATATTTAGCTTGTTTTTGTGAATTCAGCTATTGTGGACTCAACCTAGCAGCTTGCTATACTTACCATATATTATTAGTTAAATATGCTCAAAAACTGGTTTTAAATGCTTTGAAATGATACCATTCCAGACAATGAATTTCTGAATTGCACAAATGAATTACTGATAGTCCTTAAAATTCAGACACAACCATAAGTGATTTCAAAAAATGAATATGCCAACTACCGTGATGTTTAAGTATGAGGCATTTAATAATGACATCTTTTGAATGTGATTGCTATTTAAACAATGTAAAATGTTCCTTGTGCAGAGCTTTATGAATATGCATTTAAAAAGTGTCAGTTTGTAACAACCATCAACAGATTATAGGAGAGGAGCCATTTTTGGTCAGTTGATTTGTGTGCTAGCCACAACAATTCCAATCAAATGTTGGGGCAATCAGCACAACACAGTGATGAAGAAAAAGGTGATGGAGAGTCCTAGCAAATGGTCTGGATATTCTGCTGGATATGGCTGCAAGAGTTTGGATAGCAGCAGATTCTCTGATGATAAGAGCTGATGGCAGTAGGACAGGAATTGAAGATTGGTGATGGGACAACCAGCCTGGGCCTTATGGCTACTAAACAGCTTCTGGTTTGGTGTGACAGCTATCTGGGATTGGATTATGGGGAATATGGTAGAAAGTGGGAAATGGGCCTCATTCAGGGAATGTAGTACTGGTATCTTGTACCATTGCTGTGTTTCAGCCCCCTACCCTCTACCACATTTCTTAATCGTTGAATCTTCAGAGGCAGAGGCATTTGGATGCTGCTACTAAATGCCAGGTCAATCCATAATAAAACTTCCCTCCCTTGTGATAAGGATGAGAAGAATCCACTAGCGTGCATTATTGAAACTTGGATGAGCATAGAGGAAGATTGCCTTCTTGGAAATCTACCTGCCTGGGGTTCAGCTGTAATATCAGCCAACGCCAGGAGGTGGAGGCAAGGACTAGCGTTGGTAATCTGGGACATTCAGGTGACATTTAGAGGTGCTATCTCCAAAATAACTGGACATGAGATTCTATAAAGTTGGGCTCTAGGGATTATGTGCAATACAAATAAATAAAATGGTTGCTATTAATTTGCCATGCAGTTTCTATCTTGATATTTGGAGGTTGCAGGGATCTGAAGAGGGAAGAATAGATTCCAGCTCAACTCTAGCAAATCTTGAGTGGCTGTGGGCGTTAGGACACCCTTATGCCAGTAATTTATCATCCTTTTTTCTGGATGGGCATATATTATAGGCAGAATCAGTGTGCTATTTGGGGGTCCTCCTAGATTCATGGCTCCTGTTTGAGGAACAAGTGGCAACTATGACCAAGAATAGCTTTATGTTGCTGGTTGTGCCCTTCCTGGACTAGAACACACTGTTCGTGATAAGTTATGCTGTGGTTATCTTCCATTGGACTACTGAAATGGGTTCTACATTGGCTGATTTGAAGGACATCGGGCAACTAGAATTCTGGCTACATCTGATATGGCCATGTTAACTTTTGTTACTCAAGCTAACTGGCTCTCAGTAGGCTTCCAGGTACAATTTAAGGTGTGTGTTGTACCTATAAAACCTTTCATGTCATGGGGACTGGTTATTTGAGGGAATCAACCTTCTTTAATTATTCATCCCATCATATTTATCAGGAGGAACATACCGAATTTCTTTGATTAGCAAAAGCCATCTTGCATGTCTCAGAAAACATGATTTTTCTATTGGAGCACCTGCCCTAAGCAACATTAAGTTAGCCCCAACCTAGTTGGCCTTACAGAAAGCTCTTAAAACTTGGCTATTTTATCATATATGGGGCTGATTGCTGATTTCTTTGGTTTTTAGATTTTGTTATCGACCCAGAGTCATTAGCAAGATGAATAGCAAGATAAACTGATTAAACAAATGAAATGTATTGAATTGTGAGGATTTGAGTAATTATCAAGTTATAAATAATATAACTAGCAGGAGTTAGTTTAAAACTGCCATCTAGTTACAAGCAAATTTCTGTTCTATCTGTCTTTTTAAATAAAAAACAATTGGTCTCAATCGCTTTTATGTACTTCCACAGAGAAGCAAATAAACAACATGTAAGGTGTCAGAAATGTTTGGAATTTGGACACTGGACATATGAATGTACAGGGAAAAGAAAATATCTGTATAGACCATCACGAACAGCAGAATTTAAAAAAGCACTTAAAGAAAAAGAGAACCAGCTACTACAACAAAGGTATGATATACAATGTAAAAGATTACATGTCATTTATAGAAAAATATATATGTACAAGGAAAAAAGTGTGAAAAGCTTTTAACAAGTTCTGCACCATTGGGGAGGAATATATCAGAATGTCATGCATAACACTATAACCCAAATAATCCTGAAAGCTAAGCTATAAGGATTCATTTTAGCTTGAGAGACTCCTGGGTGAGGTTATCAGGAGTTAAATGTACGGCCTCCTGTCAGTAGAGGTATTGATAGTATTGACAAGGTCAATAAAACATTAATTCTCTCTCAGCTTCCAAAACAGAGATGAAATCTTATATTGGCAAAAATGCAACTTTTCTGTTTTAACATGTATCTGACAGAGTTACATGAAGGGCTAGAAAAATGTTAGAAAATAGTGGAGATGGATAAGCTTCTTAACTTTTTATATCCCATGAGACAAGCAAATTCAGGAAAAAGGAATCATTTAGATTTCTGAAAAAATCTTTATTGCTTTCAGGGTAAAGCCCACTAACAGTAAAGCAGTTTTCTAGACCAAGTCTAATTAAGCAAAGTTCTGACGTCTCACGGGAACCTTACCAAAATCATTCTGATATTGAAATGGGGCTGTCTCAACACAGTTGTTACATCATTGCAATACTTACTGTGATACTGAAGCACTCCATTTCAAACTTAAACCCATTTAGGAGTTCATAAAGTCCTATCATGAGGATAAATATTGGTGCCTTAGGGTCAAGCCTCATGTGAATAGGGGAAATCACAGAGAAGGATTGGAGGCAAACTTTTGTCAAGCTATAGAATCATTGGCTATGAAACCAATGATTTGGGCCTTCTGCGGCTCCCAGCTCCTCTGCCATTTGCAGAGAGAGAGAGAGAGGCATTTGTGCTTCCTTTCTCTCTCTCTCTCTCTCTCTTTCTCTCCCCTCCCTCCCTCCCTCCCTCCCTCCTCCCTCTCTCTCTCTCTCTCTCTCTCTCTGTGTGTATAAAAGAGTGGCCTCACCCTATTCTCCGACAAGCTGACAAGGTTATTGGGTGGGGCTCTTCCCTTTGCTGCATCTCTGCAGGAAGCAGGAAGGGGAGGAGAAAGCCAGCCCAATAATGTGTGTCAACTTGTTGCAGAACAGCCTGAAGCCAGCTTGCCAGGTGAGCAGAAGATTGGACAGAGGGAGAGGGAGGGGGAGAGAGAGAGAGAGAGAGAGAGAGAGAGAGAGAGAGAGAGAGAGAGAGAGAGAGAAGGAGAGGGAGGGAGGGAGAAAGGAAAGAGCAAGAGAGAAAGTGAGAGAGGGGGGAGGAAAGAGAGGGAAAAGAAAAGAGAGAGAGAAAAGAGAAAGAGGGAGAGGAAAGAGCGAGAGAGAGAGAAAGGACAAAGAGGAAAGAGAAAGAGGGAGAGAGAAGAGAGAGGAAAGAGAAAGGGAGACGAGAGAGAGTGAGAAAACGAGAACTCATGCACAGCAGCCTGTATTTCTTTTTAATTAAACTCTTCAATCAAGTTCTCCTCCCCCCTCGCGCGTGCGCAAGTTTTGCAGCTCCCAGTGTTTTCTTTTCTCTGGGAAACAGGTCCAAGTGGCTCTTTAGGTGTTTAAGGTTGCAGACCCTTGGACTATGAGAAGCTGCTAGAACACAATAGTAGAGAGGGGAAAAGTGGACTTAAATTTGCTCAACAGGGCATCTTCTTTCAGGCACAGCTAGTTACTCTGCAATCTGAATTATCTCTGCCCTCTAACCTTTGGGGGAGAAAGGGATTCTAGGACCCTACAGATGCAATCTTGACATTGAAATGGCTCCAATAGTGGTCAGGTTAATGCTCACTATTAGTAACATCTTACACAGTGTAAATAATAATTTGACAGAGATAATAATAATAATAATAGTAGTAAAGTTGGAATGTGGGGAACATTCTGCTATATTTTTGGAATGGGTTCTGGCAAGGCTGCAGTTTGAGATCAGAACTACCTGTTTTGAAATTGAAATGCTTCAAATTGAAAATGTTTGACACATCTCATAAAGACTGAAACTTGTGCATGGGAAAAGAGAATATTATTCCACTGCCTCTTCTCTTTATTATGGGCAAACCATTAAAATAGACATAGATTCGTAAGGATATATGTTTGGACATAAATTAGAGTAAGTCTGAGCAAGCCTCTTTCAAGGTTCTGAATCAGTATGTAAAACAATTGCAGTGGGGGCTCTTTTTAATATCTGTCTATCATGATCAACAGAATTCTGGCAGCAGCTATTTAAGTCAACAGTAAATACATTATTCCAGTTCAGTTTTGAACTGTTTTCTTTCCTGGAATTATTATGTGATCACTTTTTTTTTTGTTCCTTGGTTATTCTCACTTATTCTACTACTAGTTCAGTTCTCTTTTTGTTGTAATTCTTCATTTTCTTTTTCTTTTTGCTTTTTAGCCCTTTCACTCCATTTCTGTTTCTAGCATTGTTTTCCTGCCCATTCCCTCACTATTTACCCTCATAGTTAAAAGTTATTTATGTAATTCAGGCTTATGCGTTATTAAATGGAAATGGAATGTTCTGTTTCTCTTCGGACTGTGCCAAATTCCAGGGAGGCAGTTTGGACCATGCTATTCTGGGTGGAGATTCAGCCTTTTCCAGAATTAAATTCTATGAATCAGCAGTAGTCCAATGTGTTCTGGACATAATATTCCTGATGAAACAGCCAAATAGTCCCTGAAATGGTAGACCTAGGAGTTCAGATGATCCAAAGAGAAACACAGTTTTCTAGAATTCTCTGAAATGGTTCATTTCTGGCTCAGTGAACTTTGCGCATTCTAAGAACATTAAAATTATAATTAAACAGTAACTAGACTAACCAAAGAACTACCCAGTCTGCACTCCTATTTATATGCCTAAGATCTTTTCTTCAAAAATTGAAATGTTTTATTGGCCAATTAAATACCATAATTTATAATTTATTCTGCATTCTGTTATTTCATTGCTGCTTGATTTGCTAAGAATTGAGAATAGGTTTTGACCTGTATGCATGTAGTAGGCAGATAGATTTAAACTAAGATTATAGAAAAGAATTAGTTAAGATTAAAGGTTAATATTTAAAACATCTTTTAAAAAAAAGTTCAATGTACTTGTTTTGTAGATCTGAAGTACTTATATTAAGATACTCCATTACAATTAAACATGTACAACTGATTCTCTTTTAAGTTTGACTTAGTCAAAAGAAACCAAAATATATCAAAATATTTTTTTTCATAAATGAACAATGTTTATATGCTATTTGGTTATTAAACTTTTTGAATGATTTATAAATAATATTTATTTAACTAGTTTAAATATGCAGTTCTATTTAGTTCCTTTTTATTGTTTTGTTCATTTTTTTAATATCTTAGATTTCCACCATTGCCTTTGTAATTTCTCATTTGCTGAGAAACTGATTTTGATCTAATGTTAGCGCAGGTTTCTGATTGAACTCTTTTTAAAAAGTACATATTAATTGAAGTAATTTCTTTCCACCTGATTCTCTTCCCTCCCAATCAGTTCCGGAGAATGTACTACAGATAAAAAGAGCAAGAAAAAAAGGTATGTAAAGAAATATTTTTTAAAAAAATAAACAGATTTTATCACATTAATAGTTTCATAGTATTGCTATCTGTCACTTTGATTCATACTGACATGCTCTCCACTTCCGATCCTTTCTTAGCTTGAAAGAAGAAATTCTTTTTAATATGATTATTCATTATTTTGATTTATATCCTTTCCTTCTGTTCTTAAAGAACTCAAGGCAGCTAACAATAAAAATGCCAATACAGAAATATAATAAAATGGTTTAAATGTCAAAATGTTTTCACATTGAAAAAGGCTGGCTAAAAAAGAACATGAGAATAACTGATAAATCAGGCCTAAGCCCATACTAGCCCTGCATTCTGTTTCTCACATTAGCAAGCCAAATGTCTCTGAGGTGTTCATAAACAGTGCTTGGAGACCTAATCCCTCCTGTCATTGTTGCTCTGTAACTGCTATTTGGAGGCACCCTGCCAACCCAAAGGAAACATTGAGTCTTCAAGACTAAGCCCTTAATTAACTACTCATTTAATCCTTTTTAAAAGATATATCTAGGTCATCACCACATTTGGTAATGAATTTCACAGGCTAGTTACATACTCTGTGAATTTTTTTTTAAATGATTCTAAATTTCCTTTCAGTCATTTTCATTGGATGAAAACCTGACCCTATATTTTTGTGAAGGAAATGTACCTCAAGAATGTTTTCATCTCCCATCCCCCAGTTGTCAGGCTTTACACAGGCTCACTGCAGTTCTTGACTCTGCAGGCACATCACCTTTTTTCAGGAATTGGTCTACTTAGTAGAAAGCTCTCAGACACAACTCGGATTGATTAGTCTTCTTTTTTTTTTTACATCAGACAAGCATGAAGCCACAAGCCAAAAGATGTATCCCTTGTGTTATACATAAATCAAACCCCTTCTGTGTATGTTTCCCAGCCAGTAAATACCTGGATGTTCTTCTGAAGGCCTTGAAAGGCACCTGATGTGTGTTGACATAACAGTGCTCTCTAGCCTGGTTCTACTGGTTTCCACTTCAACAATTTTCATTCCTTGCATTACTTTTTCCTAAGCTGGTGCCTCCTAGCTATATTAATGACTGCTATATTTTTTTCAGCTAGCATGTATTTTTAATTTTGTAGTTGTGATTGTACTTCTTTTACCTTTATTTTAAACAGCTGCCTAGAGGCATTTGGGGTGATTACTTGCTGTGACTGATTTAATACATAAAATGTGAGGAGGGAAGTCTTTTGAGTCCTTAAAATATTTTTGTTTCATCTTCAGTAGTTTTCCATATCTATGATATTGCCTCTCCCCCCCCCATGAAACTGTCATACTGTTTACAATTTTATGGGTGTGGATATACTATAGAGTTTTATAGGACCATTATAATGACGACAATTTTATTTTTAGTCCCTTTCCTAGCATGGATTTCTGCTTTTTTCAAAGCTGCTGCACAATGACTCAGACTTTCTCTGACCTATCACTGTGACCCCCCCCCCCAAAGAGCCCAAGACCTTTCCTGGATACTTAAAGCAAAAAGATACAGAGACCAAACTCAACTTCTAAGGCAGTACATTCTGTAGCTTGAGAAAAATATAGAAGGCCATTCTATTTGCTGGCCAAACTGGCCTTAAAAAGTGAGAGCTTCTTTAAGAGGGCCTTTCCTGCTGGACAAGCTCTAATGAGTTAAATCCAGTGGTATGCTTGTAAGAGCCAATTGTTAAATCTTCTGGCATTTTGTGAGCCAGTTCAGACCAGAGCAGAGCTGCAACAGTTGACATGCCAGTCACCTGGTTGGCAGTTGCAGCAGTAGCAATGGAACTGGCAGAGCCAGTTTATCAGCACACTCTTAAACAAATGGTTGCAAGATACTGAGGTTCTAAACTGTTTAGGGTCTTAAGTGCTAAAAAAGAACCTTAAACTGCCTGGAACATGTTACAATCAATTCAGATCATATAAAATGGATGCATTCTTATACAATGCACCATAGAAACCTTGCTGCAGAAAACTATACTTCAATATCTGCAAAGACTTCCTGCCTTATGATCATCAGGAAGAAGGGGGCAGGAGAAGGCACATGAACTTAATGCCTGCTGTAAATCATTGACATAGTAGGAAATGATTTTCTAGTAATTTCTATATCATTGCATAGACTGATACGCCTGGAGAATTATTACTTGAATCAATTCAATGTGTTAATTAACAAAGCTTTTTTCTGATGTTTGTTATTCTTTTATGATTATTGATGACTACATGGTAAGCCAGTGCAAAGCATTTGATAAGGGTCCCTTTCCATCATGCTCCTCCTCCAGGCAAGGATTTGCTCCTTGACATGCCATATATCCTGTAATGCAGTGGTTCTCAACCTGTGGGTCGGGACCCCATTTGGGGTCGAACGACCATTTCACGGGGGTCACCAAACCACGCTGTCCGCTATTTTTTTCCCTTTTCCCTAGCTGTCCTACTCCCTCTTATTGGTGGCCACACTCACTTGGGGGTCACCACAACATGGGGAACTGTATTATGGGGTCACGGCATTAGAAAGGTTGAGAACCACTGCTGTAATGCATGAAATGTCTCAGTAGAGCCTTGAAAAGAGCTCAGCAGACTCTTCTGCTCTGAGAGATGTATGCTGAGGCAAAATCTCACAGAATGATTTGCATAGGCCTACTGCAAAAAATGTCAGCTCTTGAGTGACTGTCAGAATATTTGGGGAGAAGATGCAAGCTGTCGCCTAATACTGTGCTTTTAATTGTTTTTCCTATTAAAAATCTAGAATCTTTCTTTTAGTAAAACTGCTAAATAATGTCTGCTGGTCCTTTTAAAACTTCCGCCAGGTCTAAAAGTGTGACAAGTTCCAGCAGTGGCAGCAGCATCACCTCAGCTAGCGAGTCTTCATCAGAGAGCGATGACTCCTCCTCCTCCTCCTCGTCAGATGACAGTGATAGTGATGAAAGCACATCCAGTTCTTCGTCTTCTCCATCATCCAGTAGTTCTTCTAGTTCTTCTGACTTTGAAACAGAGTCAAGTTCTTCCAGCAGCAGCAGCAGCAGCAGCACAGACAGCAGCACAGACGATGAACCACCAAAGAAAAAGAAGAAGAACAATTTGGTGCGATGCTAGGACTATGGTGGCAGTAAAAAATAACTTGCGTCAAAAATGCATAATGGCCAAACTAAACTAACCGGTTGTCTGTTTTTACAGTTGTAAAACGGTATTTGTTTTTACATAGTAGTTGATAGGCCATAAGCTGTTAAATGGCAAGTAATACAAACTGAAAGAGTATTTTTGTGGATTACTGTTTAATAGGGAATGCTACCTTTTTTCTTAATTTTTAAAGAAATCTAATATTTATATGAATTAAGGTCCAGTCATCCTGATGTTTACATGCCGGAAAGCAGAATATATTTTCTGAATCATCCTGTGTTATAGTCATTCAGCAATCTTGTGTTTACATCAGTTTTATAGTCTAAGTAAGAGGGAAGGAGAATATGAAGTTTGATTTCAGATGGCTAAGAAACCCAAAGCCATATTTAATGTTCCTCCTCAGGTACAGAGGAAACAATATTGCATTTTGTACAGGAAAAAAAAAAGCTTGTTTGAAAAAGTTAAAAAAAAATAGTTCAATATTGTAGTCAGTTAATGGCTCAGTATCAAATTTATGTTAATTGGATTCTTTTGCGATCAGTATCCTATATACCGATCTTATTACCATCTCAGTCCAGTAGGATTGCTGAGCCTATTGAAACCAGACTCTCTGTCTCGGTTGCCCTCTTGGACTTTGTCTGCATATGCAAAATGATGATGGGTAGAGATCTTCGCATTATACTGAGGAGTATGTATCTTATCACCATTAAGCGCTCTCTCTCTCTCTCTCTCTCTCTCTCTCTCTCTCTCTCTCTCTCTCTCTCTCTCTCTCAAGTCTTGTTGCAAGCCCTCCTGTAACATTAGGTTTTGACTGACTGCCATGTACAACTTCCTTTTGCTCTTTGGGTAGAATAATTGCTGGCTAGTTTATTCTTATACAGTACACAAACTTGTGGAAGAGGATATAGCTGGGGGAAGAGAAAGGTAAGCTCTATTCCCTCATACACTCTTCCAGGCAAAGAAAACTTCATTACAGTAATCTATTGTGTTTCCGATAGAAATAGATATGAATACTATAAGTAAGAGGTAGCCAAAAGGAATAAAAATAGTTTATGCTATAGTTTCAAAATTAAAACTCACAAGCTTTTGTCTATACTATTATTTCCATTTTAGAGGAAGTTAGAGAAATAAAAGTGTTTGGGGTACTTCCTGGCTCCTACTTCTAGTCATATAACTTACTTTCGTATTTTTCTTCCTTTCAGAGAAAGGGATGTGTTTAAATTTTTTCTCATGTAAAGCATTAGCTTGGCAACTGGTCACTGGATAAACATTTCAGCCCAGAAATCCTTGGAAGAAAGGCTTCATGCTGTGTTTTACATTTGGTAAAAATATTGCCAGCTAGCCATCCAGTTATCAATGTTTCTGTTCCTTTAAGCCTCTGTTTTTACCTTTTGCCAGTTATCAATTGTCCCCCCTCCCTCCCCCCAAAAATCCTTGAGCTATTATGGTTGTAATTTAGTGGAATGTAAAAGTAATCAGAGTGAATACTTTACTAGATCATTTTAAGTTGTCTCTTTAAATGCCAAATCCTTGTTTATGATGACATGTAATGATTTCAGAATAAATTCTTAGGGTTCTATTACAGGCTTAAAAAAGAGTGTACTTATGTTTATTATAAAGTGGAAAGAGAACACAATGACACTGTAAAGTAAAGAAATATCCAAAAAGTAGCATTTTCTAAAATAGAAAGTTAGGATATTTAACTCAAAAATCAATTAATATTCCTGGGTATCCCCTTGCAAAAAGCATTTAAGTCAGAGATAAGAAACTTATTTCACTCCAAGGCAACATTGATTTCAGTTGACGATGCTGAAACCAAAAGTCGATAGGGCCAGTTCACTTCAAGCTTGCTGCCTCCAAATTACTTTTCTGGAGGCAGATCAACACATCCTTTGCCTCTTGTAGTAATTAAGCTTTTAAACTGCCTTTACTAATACAGTATCAATTCAATCTGTTTGTAAATTGTGCATATTTTAGGTTAGACTTATTTCTGATCAGCACTTGACACAGGTGGACATTTTTTTTCTGCTGCTTCCAGCCCTCTAGAAGGAGGGAGATCTTGGATTGAACCTGAAGACCAGACGGGACCCCGTCATCCCTCTGAATATGGCTTGGATAGAGGTTCTCCATGTACATATTTAAACACAGGATGAATAACAAATTGCTCTTTAAATCAGAGGGAAATCTTCAGGCAGAAGCCTGCTGTATTGACATATGGCAGCAACAGTTCTATTATATATATTTTTAGCAACACTTGTTTCTGCACTTTTGTCATTCTTTAAATAGTGGCTTGACATTTGTTGTAATAGCAATTATTCTTCTCATCCAAATCTAAATGGTTTAATGTACCGAATGCCCTCATCTTGTCTACAAGGCTAGCATACTCCTTTTTACATGGTTTGGACCAGAAGCCTGATCCTCTGTCCACTGAAAGAGAAACAGCACTATCCAGTACTAACAAAGACCACCTTCAGTTTTGTAATAAAGATCCTTGCAGGCAACTACATACATGTCTCTCTCCACTATGTATCAGAATCTTTGAATCAAGGCCAAATGCTTTGATCTTTTTAATCAGACCTGTTCAAGCTTAAAGACTTCCCTTTAAGCTGTTTTTGCACTGTTCATGGAGAGTAGTATTCAGTGCTGCAGCTGAAATGTTTCATCTTTGTGCCTTTCCCTAATATTAAATATGCCCTGAAAGCATTATGAAATGGAAGAGTTTGCTGCATGCTATTTTGGGCACCTGGAAAAAATGTTATATAAATGCTTTCAATGAGAAAAAAATTTATTTTCAGTGGAGCTGGATAAAAAAAGATATCTTTAAATATTTCCCCTTGTGATATTTTTGCATAAAAATTCTTAGCCTATAACATGCATTTGATTAATCTGGTCGTATTCTAATTTACAGTCACTTATTTAAAAATGTGTATTTTTTGCATAGCACAATAAATTTGAATGGAAGATACATATTATGAAAGATTATTGCAGTCCATTTCTTGTAGGTTACAGAAAAGAAATAACAGATTATTGTAATGAATTATAGCTATTGGAAGTATTCATTAATCCATACAGTTTCTTTTTAGTTTCTTTTGTTTTGGTGAGAGCCTTTTTATGAGGAATATATGGGAGGGGACATGTTAAATATCCTAAGTCTAGTTAAAGTATGAATCAATGATTGAACTATTTTTTATATTTTTATGAAAATGTGTGTAGAATGACTTTTGAATACAAATGTTCTATTTAAATGTTTATGAAGTTGTGCATTTTAGTCTGTAACCATTTCTATGTTTTGCAAAATTTAGACACTATAATTCTAAAACTACCAGAAAAAAAATTGAATCATGCTATATAGAATGTATAATTTAAGAAATTAATAAATTATTAAATGCAAATTAAGGGCTTAAACTTTTATTTTTACAGATTGTAAACTTAGTATGAATACTGTAGATTGTTTTCATGATGATTACTACCTATCATCAAAGATAATAAAAGAACTGTCTAGATGATGTCAGAGACTGTTCAGCTTTACCTGCAGGATTGTTGCCTGCTAATTAAGCAGAATAGGAAGAACAAATATAGAGATTTAAAGCCATGAAGAAAGGCAGTAAAAGTGTTAATGACTCCTACAAATATGTAACAAGACTGTAAGGCCCAGATATTGGAAAACATGGGTAATAACTATTCAAAGAAGAGAGTTACAGGAGAAAGCAAAATACCATACTATTGCACAAATTGCAATTGTAAATGAAATTCTGCTAGCAACTTGCAAAGAATAAAGTCATACACAAAACGGGAAATGCCAAATGAACAGACACATTTCCGTAAAGGCAGAGGACCCAAGCTAAGGCAGATAACGTAAATCAGATAAGAGAAACAATGAGGTTTGTTTTTGCTTGATCAGATATAGCAGAGTTTTTGACTATGTAGATCATGCCAAAATGTACAGTATAAGTAAGAGTAATGAGGGTTGCCAGAATATCTGATAATTCTTCTGAGGAATCTTTATAAGACTATATTGTAGGAACTGAGCTTGAAGAAATAGAATGGTTCAGAGTAAAACAAGGATGTATATGATTCCCAATTTTCTGTGTATATTATAAAAATAGTGAAGTTGGAAGAGATGACAACAGAAGTCAAAAACAGGAAGGTATAATGTTTAACAATTTGAGATACACACCATTTTGTTAAATGAAAATATACACTTAGTGGGGGATGGGGAGTGATGCAAGGCAAGATGCAAAATTTGCTCATTACCACATTTATTTACTTAATCATATTTAAAAACTGCCCGTCTCCCTCATATATATTTAAGTGGAATGGATCTTACAGTGCTATATTGTTTTTGATACTCTTGCCAAAAACAGCAAAAGCTTGCAACACTCCTGGCTCATTATGAAAGTAAAAAATGGATTACTCTCATGTTAAAACAATGACATGACAAACACAGTGTCAGCTCGCATGCCTAGTGGCTGTATTATTGTTGGCAAAGAAATGAGGGTGGTAAGTAGTTTTGGTTAGCTCAGTTGAAGAATAAAGAAAATAAAGGATAGTGTGGTAGAGAAATAAAAAGGCTTAATTTTAAGGAGGAAGACAGTGATAGAGAAAATTGTGAAATATACAAATATTTCTCTGGTATAATGAAGATCTGAATAGTTAAAGCAAAGGTTTTTCCTGAGATAATATATGATAGGTAGATAGATGCTTTTCAAGAAGCTTATGAAAGTTATCATAGACTATAGAAAACAGATCAACTAATTCTAGACTGATTGAAGCTTGACCCTTTCAAGTAATGATGAATAAGCAAAACCTTGTGTGATTTGGATGATGAATTAAAAAATATGCTTGGGAGGGTCAGGGGATAGGAAGGAGCTTGACTTAATGATACCTAACTCACTTACAATAGTTACATGGCTAATAACTTGGAAATAATGCAGTTTGAGTTTATGCTGGTTTTGTGAGTTTACTTATGTACAATACTCCCACTTAGTGAAATAATATTATATTAACATTTACAATGTGTATCCAATCGTCACCTCCCTTAAAACATTCAGAAAAGATTTAGGTATTTTTCAAGTATGGATACCAAGAATGATGCAGAACATTTGGGTTAGATGCCAAATGCGTTTAGAATTATTCTGACTCTTGAAAATTGAGGCCAAGTATTAAGGAATTATTGATTATTATCAGATGTGCATCTCTTAGAGCTTTCTATGGCTTTCCAACCTGGGAGTGCAAAAATATTACTGTATGCAATCAGTTAAGATAATTAATTACAGGCAGGCAAAGAGTGAACTAAGACATCACAGAAAGAAATGCTTAAGCTGAAGTACTTAATTTCTGGTGGCCAAGGCTAATTAATATCTTAATCTACACATGGGCATTTAGGATTGGTACTGATATGTACAAAAACAACACCATGCAATGTCTGTCCATTTATTTGTTTGTTTGTTTAACTAATTTATATGGCTACTCTCATAGAGTGACTCTGAGTGCCTTATAAAATTAAAAATCTAAAATACAGATACCCGTAACCTCCCCCCCCCCAGCAGCATCAAACATAATCAAACCAATTACTTGATTGGCACTGGGTCAACCTGGTGTCGCTGAAAGAACCACATCTTCAGCACCTTCCAGAAAAGTAACAAAGTAGGGTTAATCTTATATCTGGGGAAATGATATTCCATAGGGAGGGAGTCACCACGGAGAGGGCCCTTTTTCTTGGTCTCACTGTCAGATGGGACCCACAACATATCCTGCCTTCCAGTTCTGTTGGGCTGGATAGATGTAACTGGAGAGAGCTGATCCTTCAAATAACCTGGCCCCAAGCATGTAGGGTTTTAAAGGTGATAGCACCTTGAATTGGACCCAGAATAAACTGGCAACCAATGCAGCTCCCGCAAAAGCGGTGACACGTGCAAATTTAGATTTGCGTAAAACTATGCAGACTATTGCAGTTTGAACCAGCCGAAGCTTCTGGATATTCTTCAATGTTAGTTCCATGTACAATGCATTACAATATTCCAAGTGGGACATGACTAGGGCAGGGATCAGCAACTTTAAACACTCAAAGAGCCATTTGGATCCCTTTCCCACAGAAAAGAAAACACCGGGAGCCACAAAACCCTGCTGGTTCCCCCCCCAGCACTCTACCACTGCTGCTGCTTACCGCCCCCCATACACAGAGCACCCTGCTGCTGCTTTCTTCTTCTACCTCCCCCGTGCAGAGTGCACCCTGCTGCCACTTTTCCCTCCTACCTCCCCTACATGGAGCGTGCCCTGCCATCGCTTTTCCTTCCTACCTCTCCTATATGGAACGTGCCCTGCCATCGCTTTTCCCTCTTACCTTCCCTACATGGAGCATGCCCTGCTGCTGCTTTTCCCTATCTCCCCTGCATGGAGCACCCTGCCGCTGCAGCTTTCCCCAGCAGCAAAGGTGGAGTTTGGGAGGCAATGGCAGGGCATAGCCCAGACATGGCCCAGCAGCAAAGCTTGTCCTTCCCACTCAAGAGACTCCACCAGCGGCTCCTCGGCTCCATCCAAGTTGAAGAAAGTGGAGGCGCAGCAGCGGGATTGCTCTCAAATAATAAGAGCCAAGTGCGCTGCTCGCTCGTGTGTGCCCGCCTTATTGAGAGCAATCTTGCTTCTGCGCCTCCACTTTCTTCAACTCGGATGGAGCAGAGTGGGGAGGAGAATGAAAAGAGTGGTGAGGCTTTGTGCCAGCCGGCCGGCCAGGTGAAGGGTAAGTCAGGTGATGGTGGCTGGCTGGCTGGCTGGGGGGATCATGGCCACTGGGGGGGGGATCTGACAAGTCTCATGGCAGCGGAATTGGCAGCTCCCCCCACCCAGCCCATTTCCCCAGGTCCGTACAAGATGCTTGGCAGAAAATCCCCTCTGTGCCCCCGGATGGACCCATGTGGCACTTTCTTTCCAGCTCTGACGCGGTCCTCCGTCACTTCCTCCGCCGCCGTGTGCAGTCTTACAAAGAAAAAAAGCTTGTGGGCAGTCCCACAAACTTCTTTTGTTTGTGGGACTAAAAAGAAGTTAAATCAATCAATTCCAACTTTGCGAGATCTTTTTTTTTTCTGTGAGAAGTTGAAATTCATTGATTTTTTTTTAGGTGGCGGAGGACTGGGAGCCGCAGCGGAGGGATGAAAGAGCCGCATGAGACCCTGGAGCCACGGGTTGCCCATCCCCTGGACTAGGCATTGATGATTATGAGAAGAATATGGTATAGGAATGGGGATAACTGATGCATAACTCACAATTGTATGAAAGCCTTCTGGCTACAACTGCCACCTGTTCCTCGAGCAGGAGTTGCAAGCCCAAGAGAATCCCCAGATTGCGTACCAGGTCTGGGGCAGTGCTACCCCATACACACCCAAAGATGTTAATTCTCCAAGAATCAAGAAGCCCCAAACCTAAAGCTACTCTGTTGCTAGGGTTCAGTTTCGCCTATTCCTCCCTATCCTGTCAAGCACCAAAAACCAAGGAAGACATGCTGAGATTCTTCTAAGCAGTTTCATGTATTGTTCCTTGCACATAGACAGAACTCTTGCTAGACTAAAGCAAATTACTTACACCATTAAACAATACTCTGAGAACTCCTAGGGAGGAGCTATTCTGACTATCTTCCTCCCACTCAAACTAGCTAAACTTTGCTGTCTTTTACTTCTCTGGAATGCATTTCTTCCCTCCTGGGAATCTGGACTACATTTCACATCAACAGCCTCCAGGCACTAAGAAACCGCAGTCACGGCATGACTTAACTCATCACGGGCAGAGATATAAAGTTGAATATCAGCAGCCTACTGATGATACCTCACCCCGTGGTGACAGATGATCTCCTCCAAGTCATTAAAGTTTCACCAAGTTAAACAGGACTGGCGAAAGCACCAGATCCTGGAAAAGATGACACAGCAGGAGCCGCATGTTGGACCACTTGCTCTCATTCAAGCCAACTGGAAATGGACTTTAATGAAGAAAATGAACCAGGACAACACAGTGCTGTCCCACCTCTCAACCCCCAGAGCTGGCCCAGATCAATACAGTATATAGTTGATGATATCAAAGGCAGCAAAGAATCAAGTTATGCAAGGACAGACTCACTAACCTCATTCCACTTCTGCCAAAGATCATCAAAAAGTACAAGCAGTGTTTTTTTTCTAAAAAAAAAAAAAAGTGCTAGAACTCACACACGTCTTACAACCTGCCTTGCCTACCCTACAAGGTTCCATCCCAAAAAGGTGCTGGAACTCCGTTCTGGGTGTTCTATGAGAAAAAAAAGCCCTGAGTACAAGTAATATTTCCATTCTTATCCAGACCAGCAATCTGACTGAATGGGATCCAGATAATTTTTTCCATCCAGGATCCTAGGGAACTGCAACAAACCTATTTTCTCAACAACCTTCCCCAGAAAGGGAGGTTGTAGTTAGGACAAAAATTGTCCATCAAGGTGGGATCTACCGATGGCTCTTTAAGAGGGCAGAACCACTGTCTCCTTTAAAGGGCTGAAGCATCACCCCCTCATCCAAAGATGCATTGAGTACCACCAGTACTCAACTGCATGTCACCTCTTGGGAAGCTTTTACCAGCCAGAGGGAACATGGATCTAAAACACAAGCTGCTAAGCTCATGTTTCCTAAGATCCTGCCAACTTCCTCAAGAGCCGGGGTCTTCAGACTTGGCCCTTTTATGACTTGTGGACTTCAACTCCCAGAATTCCTCAGCCAACATGCCTGGCTCAAGAGCAACAGAGTCAAACCATTACCTACCTCAGGCTTCTCCACTGGATCAGTATCCATGCTAATATCCAACTTGAAACAAATCTGAATTATACGCCAGAAAATCATCATATTCCTCAGCAGGCCCCTACACCTAGAAAGAATTTGGTCACTTTAAAGAGGGCAGCTGGATAATGTTCTGCAAAAGCAATTAGTTTGGACAAGTATTTCCATTTCACCGCATGAATCGGTGGGAGGATTTAATAGCCATTTTGATTTAGTTTATTCTATGTCTTCTGTCAGAGGTGCTCTAGAAGTCTCTTGGTCTGTTTGATCCCTCTTAAACTATTCACAAGTACCTCTTAGGTATAATTGTCCAACCAATTTTGCATCCATCTTATAGCTGTATAACCTGGCCTACATGTTGAAAACTTCTTTGTTAAGATCTCATGGAACCTCTGCTGTATTTATATTATGACCACTTGATTCCTACAATCGAGGGCATGATGGTTAAGCAGTTAGATACTGAGCTTGTCAGCTGGAAAGCTGATAGCCTAAGTTCGAGATCTGAGTGCGAGCTCCCATTATTTGCCCCAGCTCCCTAGCAGTTCAAAAGCATGCAAAATATGAGTAGATTAATAAGTACCACATCAGTGGGAAGGTAACAGCATTCCATGCATCTTTGACGTATAGCCATGCTGGCCAGATGACCATGGAAAGTATCTTTGGGTAATGCTGGCTCCCTTGGCCAAGAAATGGAGATGAATGCCGCGCCCTAGAGTTGGACACAACTGGACAGGGAAACCTTATTTCTATAATTAACAAAACTTATTATTCTATCAGAAAAGATTAATGGCTTATTCTTGATAAATCCATGCTGTCGCCTGATGTGCAGTGCAATCTTTTTTAAAAGTTCACAAATTTTTTAATAATTTATTCCAGAGTTTTGCCCAATATCAATATCAAATTGATGATCTGTGGTCGCATGGGTCCTCCTTGCTTTCTTTTGAAGGTAGGAATAGTTGCTCTTCTTCAATCCTCTGGCATTGTGGTTATCATAATTTCTCAAAGATCACAGAAATAGGTTTCCAATACATTCACAGGCCCTTGCATTAGTTATGGATGTAACAGGTCTCATCTTGGAGGCAAAACTATACATAGCATCCAGATGCTCCATAATTGTCCTTTACCTATCTTGTATCAATTATTCTGTTTAAATCCATTTCAACACAATTCCCACTGAAACAAAGTAGGAGTTGAGGAAATTGGTTATTACCCCATCATCTGTTAATATTCAACCATCTTCTCCAAAATGAGGCCACCCCATCTTTTTTCTTCCTTTTACTATTGGCACCATCACTGATCTTTTGTGTACTAGGCTTCTTGTTATGTTGGTTGGGCTGGGTTCTTATACAAACTTATCCTAACTTCTGACCTTGATGCAGTCAAAAAACCGATGCAGTTTCTTATTCAACTTGAATTCTGACCAAAATTGGCTGAAGAACAGTTCATACACTGCCCAGTATATCAACAAATCACTAATAACAAATCACTAGTCTACAAAGACAGATTACTTATCTAGGGTCTGTAATCTGTGCTCTTCAGGCAGAAATTACATGTCTAGTTCAGCCCTTCTGCTCTATTGAGTTGCCATGCTATCAGCCCCTCTATCACAAAGATCTTGCAGGAGAAGGGCAGTATGGACAACCGTGAGATCTGGTAGGGTGAGAGCTGTGAACCATAAACACAAAGCTTTCGCTGTATCCCTGCATAACAGATACAGTGCCCTTGCTGACCTTAATAGGGACACTAAGAAACAAGTCAATGTAGTTGTGATGATGATGATGATGATGATAACTCAAATAAGCAGGGGATCGTGTTCCGAGATGAAGAACTTGCTTTGGACAGGGGAAAGTGTGAATCAGGTATTACACATCACTCATGCAAGAAGAGCAAGGCATCTAAAAAGAGAAGTCACCTTCTGGTTGGTGATTCAATTCTAAGGGATATAAATTTAGAAAGGATCCAGAGGTTTTGAAAGAGGTCAGGTGTCTTCCAGGTGCTACTGCCAGTAGAGACAAGAAGCGTATTTTTAAGATAGTCAAGAATGCCAGCAAGGACTGTGATGTGGATGCTATTGTACATCTTGGCACTAACGATCTATCCCAAAAATATGTACTGTGCAGAATGATTTTCAGAACTTGGGGAAGAACTTAGCAGGATAGGCTGTAGGCTTACTTTTTCAGAGGTTTTACCAGTGCATAAGAAACAAAATGGAAAAGGCCAGCATATAGCAGAATTCAATATGTGGTTAAAGGAGAGGTGTAAAGGGGAAGGCTTTGGTTATATTAGTCACGATGTCTGCAACTGGTCCAATGAAAAAGTGTACAAAAGAAACGGCTTGCATCCATCAAAGAAAGGGACTGAGTTACTTGGCAATAAATTCACATATTTTCTAGGGAAATATTTAAACTGAACAACAGGGATAGTGAGTTAATTGATACAAAACATCCCTGTCCCCGGCAATCTAAAAATTATAGGGTTATCTGTGCATGTAACATAGAGGTGTGTGTGGACAAGAATATCAACCTAGCTGTCAAGCAAAATCAAGCTTTTAATAGTGAGTGCCACACCAAGTGCACTTATCAAACAGGTGGTAATAGGGGAACTCAGGCACCACACAAGTTATGTAGAAAGTAAACACAGGGTCAGTTATAAAGGACTCAAATGTCTATACACCAAAGCACAGAGTATGAGCAATAAACTGGGTGAACTAGAAATTCAGGTAAATGAGGGCAGATATGATATTGTTGCCATTACAGAAACTTGGTGGGATGAAACCCACAAATGGAACACACAGCATGAGGGATTTAAATTATTTAAAAGAAACAGACCAAATAAAAGAGGAGGTGGAGTTGCTCTCTATATAAGAAATAACTACATCCCTACAGAAATAGAGCACAATGATGAAAATGCATTTGGGTCAATATAAAAGGGGGGGGGGGAAATGACATTGCCATAGGTGTATACTATAGGACACCCAACCAAACAGAGAAAATAGATGAACTTTTTGCTAGTCAGCTAACTAAGGTATGTAGGAAGCACATCACAATAGCAATGGGGGACTTTAATTTTCCTAACATCAACTGAAGACAAACTCTGCACCAAGTGGAAGATCAAACATTCCTGACAAACCTAGCAGACAACTGTGTCTACCAAAAAGTAGAGAAGGGAACTAGGGGATCAGCCATATTGGACCTAATTCTCACTAACAGAGATGAAATGATAGGTGTTGAAGCCATAGGAACCTTGGGGAGAACTGATCATGCAATATTGGAATTCAACATTATGCAAGCACAAGCAATAGAACACAATCAAACTAGAGCTAATTTCAATAAATTTAGAGCTTAGAAAGGATTACATGGATGAGAATCCTCAAAGCGAAAATAACTCCAGAAGCTTGAGAAATTTCCTGACAGAACAATTACCCAGTGCAACAACCTGCCTCCAGAAGCTGTGAATGTTCCAACATTGAAAGTTTTTAAAGAAGAGACTGGACAGTCATTTGTCTGAAATGGTATAAGGTTTCCTATACGATTCCTATTTCTGAGCAGGGGGTTGGACTAGAATAGATGACCTCCAAGGTCCCTTCCAACTTTATTAACAGTAGAATTTTTATGCCACAAAAGATGCCTTGCAGATCATTTACAAAAACACGATAGTATCTTCAAACCTCTTTATTCAATGAGGTAACGTTACTGCCTGTTTGTTCTACTGTTATCTTTGCTTTTCGGGACTAATATAACCACATGCTAAGTCTGGTCTAGTAGCGTGAATGAAAATGTGCCGAATGTTGTTTTGAGGTGTCACTGCTGAAACATCCCCCGCCCAGAATTTGATGTTATAGTTCTGATCAGATATCGCTTTCTACTTTTAATTATTTCCGCAATTATTAATAAAGTACTGGAAAAAGTACCTCAGTACTATATACATTTGGATGAAATTAAATTCAGTTTATGAAACTAAATTCACTTTGATCTGGTAGCCAGGAGGGCGAGAAAAAAAAATCAATGGAAAATTGTCGCCGCAACCGCCCGATCGGAGCTGACAGCTCCGTCGACTATCTCGCTCGCAGAGCGTCACCCATCCGAGAGCTCTCCGCCTAAAAAGCAGGCAAGCTGCACGTTTGGCGGTCGCAACTTTCCACTGACACTTCGTGAGTTACATCCCAAATGGGAAAACCCGGGAAGCCTCTTTCCGAAAGGGAGGGGGGACGGCGCACGAACCTCGGCGAAGCCTTTCCGGGAGAGGATCACGTGGTCGCCAATTTGGTCCCTCCCCCTCAGCCGCCGGATGGGGCGGGAGGGGGGCCGTTGACGCGAAGGTTGCTGGGTAGTCCTCTCCAGGGGAGGGAGAGGGAGGGGGAGGGGCAGGGAGAGGGAGAGGAGGAAGGAGAAAGCGGCAGGCACTGTCTGGGCCTTGACATCGCCGCCCACCCGCTTGGGTCCCGTCTCAGCCTCCCAGCCGTCGAAATGGAGTGGCGCCGGAGATGGTACTCTGCTGCCGTGCCTACCTTTGGGCGGTGATCCGCCGTGGCCCGCCTTTCTCCTTCTCTCGTCAGCGGCGCCTGCCGCCACCGCCGCCGCCGTTCCTGGGGCCTTTCCGGCCTTTTGTGCCCCGCGCGGTAGCAACCCCCCGAGAAATGGTTGGGGTGTAGCGGAATAGTCAGTGGAGGTGAGTGATGGGCGGCTCGGGGAGGTGGGCCCGTCGAAAGGGCCTTTGGGCTGGGCGGGGCGGGGCGAGGCACAGTTAAGCAATTCAGAGTCAGATAGGCCCCGTCTCTCTCTCTCTCTCTCCGGGTGGGGGGCGGGCGGGGGCGGACCTCTCGCCCCATCCTCCGAGGGTCCAGCCCGTCGCCTGCCGAGCTGCCTTTGTATGCCTCTCCTCCATCCGCTGCTGGCGGGGACTCGACTCGTTGCTTCTTCCGATTCCAAGTTGGATTTGGCTTTCCTCCCCCCCCCCCCCTTGTCCCATGTCCTGAATTTCCCATTTCTTCGCTGTCTAGAGCTTCTTTTCCTCGGATCCCTCCCTTATTCGTCACACGCCGAGCGCGGTATTTTTGGGAGACGTTTGTCTTGAAGGCTTGAGCGTACCGAGGATCTTAAGAGGCTCGTGTTACAAAATGGACAGACACGGGTTATGTATGAGTCATATGTGCGTGTGTGTGTGTGTGTGTGTGTAATGCATACACACGCCAGGCAAGTTGAAGTGTTTCTTCTGCCTTTCATATATTAAGAGAGAATGGCCATCTTTTTCCTCTTCGGAAGTGTCAGCAAAGTCGAGGGAGGTAAAGATACAAGATAAGCTATTGACGGTAGGGCCAAGTCATCTCTTGCACTAGTTGGGTTTAATCTGAATCCAGGGTTTGACGTCATTGCTTTGTTCCTTCTACTTTGCTATCTATGTTTTAAGCACTGAGCATCTGAAATCTCATTCAGATTTATTATGCTTCCAACAACACGTCCTGCTTTTCATAATAAAAGCACCCTCGCAGTATTGCAACATGTCAAGTTTAGTCAGAAGCAAAAACCAAAGAAATCTGCACTGATAGCGAGGGTTGTTATTACTCAAAATGCTTGGTGGAAAAGAAATGACTTCCCCTGGAGCTAACTAAACATTGGTGTCACCAGCCTCATTTCCAGAGGAAGGGATGTTCTACAAACTCAGTGCCCCATGCTGATTAAGATTTATTGCAAGTTTGGCAGATGCTGGGCTCTTCCAAACCACTGATTTTTCCGGACCTTGGCATAATGCCTGCTTGCATCATTCTTAGGATCAGATTGTCAGAAAGAATCCCAGAAATCTTTGTATTCAGGTTTTGGTTTTTGCCTCTGTCCTATGAAATTTGCCTTTTCCTCAGTAATCCACTACATTTACGCGTCACCAATACATTTTTATCATGTTTCTCTTTTCTGTTGGGGAAGGTCATCCCAGGACACTTTAATTTATCACCTTACCATTAATTATTTACATTTGGTTTTTTTTCTCTGATATTCTACTTGTTGAATGCTTACAATAGTTAATGTATTTTTTAAAATCCAAACAGAAAAGAGACCCTAAAGTTAAAAACATAAACTTCAGTACTATTAATTAGCTGTTTGGTAAAATGTGTAAAAAAAAATCTACAGATTTTCCCCAACAAAATTTTTGGAGGAATGTATTTTTGTCATTGCCTTGCAGTTCAAAGTATATCATTTTGTATATTTTCGCCTTTCCCCGTTAGTCCTTACCATGTCATGTGCTCAGGAAATCAACAGCTAGCAAGCCTCCAAAGGACTTATGTTTATGGAACTTGTGAAGGATGTGTATATGAAGGATTTCTTATGAATTTTCAAACTTGCAGATAGAATGGGAATAGGCTCTACAGACAAACAACAAAACAATTATTGACTGGTCTTCAAAAAGATTCAATGTCTATTGCAATTATGTGTACCATTGTATTATACAAGGATTGCAATGATAAAATGCAAACATCCTAAAACTAATCCAAGTATATATATAGTTTCACATCTTTAAGCAAAATAATACAGGAATAGTTCAGAGTTTTTGTCCAAAGCCATTTAGGCCAGGGTTCTATACATGAAACAAAAATACTGAGTTGGGCTTGGTGCCAGATAATTAACCAACGCTCTTGAAGGATCAATTTTATATGGCCTCAGTTGCCAAACCAGTTTTCACCTTCACAGCTGCATTTTGCCCAAGCTGCTCTCTCCAATTCAATTTCAAGGCATCTCCATGTAAAAGTGTTTTGTAGTATTTTATAATACTGTAAAACTATATAGTATTATAACCAAGAAGTTAGCAGAACACAGATGGACTAATCATGCCTAAAAGTATTGATAATTGAAGTAACAGTTGGAATTGAAATAGGTGTCTTGTACTACTAAGAGTTTAGGCAACCCAAGTGACAGGTAAATTTAAGTAATACACATGACTTATGATATGATTATGATGAATTATATTTTAGATGAATTCATCTAGACCAAACCATTCTCATGATTTATGGACTTGGGTGCTTTCAATCTACAGTTTCTCCATCTGATTTCATCCAATCTATTATTGATCAAGCATCTTCATATTGTAGTATGGTCAATTCATAACTATGAAACTGAGACCAGTATAAAATATTGTTTACTATATTAAATTCAGGTGTCAGAACTTATTTTTGATGCTGTGATTTGAAACAAATCTACAAATGTGAAGAACCAAAGTTGTTTAATTAAAAATTGATTTTAAAAAAACACTTAGCCTTAGTCTATATACATCTTTTGATTAATTGATTTTCTTAGACTTAGGCTCAATTAATCTGGGACACCTAACTTGCCTGGATTTCCTTTTTCAGTTTACCACAGAAGTTGGCTTAGAAATACATTCTTTGGCAAGATTCTATGAAATCACGCATCAATCATAGATTATATAAATGGCTAATGCTATTAACATAGCACTAAAGGTCTGAATTATTGTTATGACTTGCATGAATTTTGTTGGTAGACAATATTGTGCATTTCAGATGTTCTGAATTACAATTTTTATAAATTTCAGTTAGCATGAACAATACTTTAAACTAGAATTCTCCTAATAACAAATATCTGAGGATACCACATAATTTTGTTTGGCAATCTCACTAATTATAAAGTGTGAAGATAACTTTCTAAGCTTTAAGATAAGATGACCTCCAACCCTCGTGTGCTATACTTGAAATTCATTGTTGATCATGTATTTATTAGCTTTTCTTCCAGGTTTGGGACCAAAGATCTATTCTGTCCTATACTTTTATTTTTAATTGAAATGGATGGAATCACTAACTCCCAATCTGTGGTATTGGTAAGGTGGAGAGATTTTTAAGAGGTGAAATCAATGTCTTATGGCACACGTAACAACCCTTAAAACTAACCTCCTTTCCAAATCAGGGCAGGACAAGAAAGTATAGTCCACAGATAGAAAAGAGTTGCCTACATATGCTGTAGTAAGCTTGTCTTTCAAAGAAAGGTAATACTGACTGTACCTTGATAGCATATAGGTAGTCCTTGACGTATGACCACAATTGACCCCAAATTTTTGGTTGTTAAGTGAGTTTTGCCTCATTTTACTGCTTTTCTTGCCACAGTTAAGTGAATCTCTATAGTTGTTAAGTTAGTAACACAGTTATTAAGTAAATCTGGCTTCCCCATTGATTTTGCAAAAGGGGATCTGGAGGATCACATGATCCTCAGACATTGCAACTGTCATAAAGACATGGCAGTTGCCTGGTGGCCGAATTTTGATCACATGACCTACCATTGTCATAAATATGAAAAATGGTCATTAGTCGCTTTTTTCAGTGCCGTTGTAACTTCAAATGGTCTTTAAATGAATGGTTGTAAGTCAAGATTATCTGTATTTCTAAATTTTAATGGGCTCTTATCCAAGCTTTTGTTTTACAGATTTTAAAATGTAGACACATTCAAGACCATTTCTTAGTGCAGTGGTTCTCAACCCTTGGGTCGGGACCCCATTTGGGGTTGAACAACCATTTCACGGGGGTCGCCAAACAACGCAGTCTGCCATTTTTTCCCCCTTTTCCTTAGCTGTGCTACTCCCTTTTATTCTATTGGCTTTTGAAAGCCAATAGAATAGACTCTCTTGAATAGAGTCTAATTCTATTGGCTTTCAAAAGCCATAGGAATTGTCCAGGCTGTCTCTGCCCTGCTGAGCCTGCCAAAAGTCCCATTCTGCAAACGGTGCTGCACCAGTTGAGTAGTCCTCGACTTACGACCGGTTGGGGTCGTGGCATTAAAAAGGTTGAGAACCACTGTCTTAGTGTATGCATTTATTTTGCATTCTTTCCCCAATAAATATATTAACCAAAGTTTATTTTCCTTATATGGTATGCTTAGAATTTCCAGATAAAGGTATTTTTTAAAGTTGTCAACTGCATTAAAATATTCGGGGAAGTATGAGTTTTGATTATATAGGTGTGCTAGTTCTCTAACAGGAATTAGGAAGTGTGTTTGCTGGAAATGTTGTCCATGTGTTGTAGATGCTCATAAGACACCTGCTTTGAGCATGATGCCAGTCATAGAACACTCACTTATCAGGAGTTGGCTGTTGAAGCGTCTTCTGTCAGTTCCCCAACTTAGCTTTTCTTTATGAGTGGGTGGGAGTGTTTTTAGTAGGTATGTACGCTTCTACCCAAATTGCTAAATTGTACTCAAGCCAGAATCTTTACTTACATTACTTACAAGATTGTGCATTAAAAAATCGCATTTAATAAGTATATATTGTTATTTTTCATAATTCTGCTATTAATTTGCACATGAAACTAAA